TTGACAATAGCGAGTAGTTCACGTCTTGTGGTGCAACAGTTTCGTTCTGGCTTTGTGAAGGCATTGCTGTAGTAGCCAATTACTCGTTCATAGCCTTCCCGTTTTTGAGACAGTACTGCATCTGCCGGGATACTGCTCGTGTCTGTGTCCAGAATGAACAACGGGTTGTATCTTGGGTAAGCCAGCGCTGGGGGCGACATTAGCGCACACTTCAGTGCGTCAAAAGAGTCTTGGCATTCAGTAGACCATTTGAATACCTTGGACTTTTCGGTCAAGGCATATAGAGGCTTGGCGACTCGTGAAAAACCAGGGACGAAGCGCCGGTAGTACGTCGCCAGGCCGAGGAAGCTCAGAACGTCAGAACCTGATGCTGGAGTTGGCCAGTCGGTGATTGCTGATAACTTCAGTAGATCAGGAGACGCAACTGGCTGCAATATCGTGTCCTAGATATCGGGCTTCCCGAGCAAAAAGGGTGCATTTTTTAGGGGTCAACTTCAGGTTGGCGTCTTGGAGTCTCTTGAGCACAAACTCAAGATTAGTCAGGTGTTCGGTGAAGGTCTTTCCAAGGACAACAATGTCGTCTAAATACACAAGGCAAGCGGACCAGGTTAGTCCCTCGAGGAGGTTTTTCAATAGACGTTGAAATCTTGCGGGAGCGTTGCATAGCCCAAAAGGGCATGACTGTGAATTGATAGAGCGCGTTGCCGATATTGAAGGCTGTTTTTTCGCGGTCTGATGAATGCACAGGAACTTGCCAGTAGCCGCTCTTGAGATCAAGGGTGGAGAACCAAGTAGATCCCGCGAGCGCCTCTAGGATATCATCTGTCTGTGGTAGTGGAAAAGAATCTTTCTTTGTGACCTCATTTAGCTTCCTCTAATCGACACAAAATCGAGTTGATCCATCCTTTTTTTTTTACCGGGGTGATCGGCGAGGACCAGGGTCCATAGGCTGGCTCAATGACACCTTGTCTGAGCATTTCTTCAACGAGTTCATTCACATGTGAACGCTTCGCCAGTGGTAGTCTGCAAGGCGCTTGCCGAGTGGGGTCTGCATCACCGGTTATGATGCGGTGCGTAGTCAAATCGGTACTTACTAAGTCAGTGTCGCTACTGCTGAATGCAGCCGAAAAACGTGAAAGTAAATTCTGCAGTTGAACAGCGTCATTATCTTGAAGGCGAGGATCAGTGGCAGCATAGAGAGGTATAAGGTGAGTTTTGGAGACCAAGGGAACACGGTGTTAGCGAGTTTAATGGCAGCCCATTCGCATAGCACACTGATACAGTCGCTGAGCCGAGATGAAATGCCTGTGCCCCAACGTGAAGGATCGCTTGAGCAAAGTCGAGCAGGCATTTGTGCGTCTTTAAGAAATCCATTCCTAGTATGCAATCACCACTGGCTTCTGCTATGACCGCAGGTAGTGTCGCCTGCAGGCCACGAATTTGGAAGGGAACATTGGCTTGTCCCAAAACTCCAAGGGTAGCACCAGTTGCACTTTGAAGACTGGAATCAGGTCCCACAGGCATGGCTGAGAGATGTAACTGGTCGAAGACTGTGAATCGGACGACTGAATTTGTCGCTCCGGTATCTATCAATGCGCGCACATGGACGGCATTCATTGTACCTTGGAGGTAGTTAGATGAGGGTGAAGCTACCAAGCAAGTAGAAGTATTTTTTTTTGTTCGTGACGCTCCTTGAGCACCCGTTGGTCGGGCGTCTGGGGGTGTAAGGGGACATTGCGTCTTGCTGTGTCCTTCTTGTCGGCAGTTCCAGCAGATCATCATTGGTAGGACTGAGGCTGGTGCTGCAGGTGGATGCCTCGTAGCCAATCGTGATGCATTACGAGCGGCCTCCACTTCTAGCGCATAAATGTGGGCGGCTCGGAGTGTTTGAGGACGAGAAAGGCGAACTGCATCTTGGATCTCAATTGACGCAATTGCATCAATAAAATCCGCAGTGCCAACGGCATCTTGTCTCTTCAGGCGAACCCACGAACGACAAGCGTGTAAGACGCTCGATGTCGTCAGCGAGCTGAGACAACGACTCACCCGAATTTTGTCGCCGGTGGCGCAGTTGGGTGTGGTTTAGGTAGCGTTAATGCCCATCACCGAAGTGTTGCTCCAACAGTTGAACTAAAGAGGTGTACGACGTACGAGGTTCTGGCGACATGTGGTGAAGGACGTGTAGTGCTGGACCTTTGAGATTTACTGCAAGTACCTGTGCCTTTTGCTCGTCGGTCCATCGATTGGCGGCAGCGAGGATCTGAAATTGAGTCATGTAGGCGGACTAGGTGCCGGTGCCGTCAAATCGTGGCGCCCGTAGCTTGAGATCCGTAGCAGACGGAACGATGGTCGGTTGAGCCGTGGGTGGAAGTTCATTTTCACCGGTTGGTAGAGATCTTGGTTGTGCCAGCGCTCGAACGTTTTTGACGATTGCTACTGATGTTCTCTCGAAGGAGCTTCAAATGGCCCCCAGGAGAGCCGCATCGCGTTGCCTGAGCTCTTGGGCAGCCCTCTGGTGGTGGACATCCAGCAGTGCTGCAATGGCGGTCAAGGCACCGGCTTGAATGTTAGGCTCAACGGGATCAGCAACTGATCGGGGCGGGATGGCTCCTCCTCCAGGTCGCGAAAGCCCATCCTCAGGTTGTCGAGGAGGGTCCATGCTTGCAGGAAGACGGTGTCCCGGACGGAGCTCCACTTCTGACACCACTTGTTACGCTTTATTCTAAGCGTACCTCGCCCCTGATGTTCCCTTCTATCCTTCCAATCCGAACATCACTTCTTCTTCTGTCACAATACGTTTCGGCATCGTCATTCGCTGAGCTGCCTCCGTAAGTTGCGATGACTGGCTCTCCGAGAGTTGTGCGGGAAAGTAGACGCACGTTTTTTCTTAGAGTGTAGTCACAGGACGTGGGCAGGCCACATCTCTCATACGAAATCACAAATGTATCACTATAGATACATAATAAAACCTTAACACTTTAATCAATCAATCAATCAATCAATCAATCAATTACTTTTTCCATCGAACACCGATGGTAAAAATGAAAATGGTTTACTAATGTCGCTTTGTTTCACTTGAAAAAGTCACACTATGTTTCAGTGTTTCACTAGAGTGTCAATATGTTTAAATAAACTTAGTGACACAATGTTTCGCTGTTAAACATGGTGTGACTATGTTTCATCTCTGCAACCTTGCAATAAGCAGTCGCTGACCAGCAAGCAACATGTAGGGAACACAAAAAAAAAGATATACGTCATATGAACCGACCCAAAAGGAACATACAATCAAGCAGTCTCTCCAGTGCGGAGAGCGAAGTCAAAATAACCTTTTTTAAGTTGCTCAACAGCAATACATGTATAAAAATTGTCCAATCACCAAAATTACTAACATTAAAAGTGATAACCCTTAGGACCCCACTAAACTTTACCCCAAATGCGAGTAAATATTACAGTGTAGACAAAGATGTCTAACAGTACATGATGCAATCTCTGAATATCTCTCTTTAGTTCTTTCAATTTCATTTGGGACGTACAAAACAATATATAAACATTTGTAACCCGTACTCTGAACAATTCAATGGTAGTCTTCAACTCTGCCTCACAAACGTCGTATATTCAGTAATGTGGTGTCAGGTTGGAGATAACTTCTAAGATTGGAACAAAATCAATTTTACAAAGTTTCGCCAAAGATAATTTAGAATGAATGATTAGTTTCAAACGATGCGAAACTCGCAATAATTTATCTCCTAGTAATAGCTGTAGCAAAAAAATAATCGGAGGCAATGGAGACAGTAACATTTCTATACGAAACGCAATTGCTTCAGCTCCCGGTACTGTTTAATGTAACTGATGACTTTGCAGGTGTTTCCAGAAACGCACGTGCACAGAAAATTTACTTGAAAAGAAAAAAAATATCTTATTGACCTTCAATCCAATAGTTTGGTTCTATGCGACTTCACTCTTTGGAAACGGGAAATTGAAGTTCGTTCTAGCAGATATTTAATGACTGGAGTTTACAACATATCCCTTGGTGGCATTCTGGACCCACGGAAGCAGCCACACAATTCACTAGGGCAAAATTTGCTCTTCAAGGGAAGCTCCGGTGGTACTTTGAAAGCCGCTGACTTGCACAAAATATGTTCAGCATGTTGATATACGCACGTGAACTTGCAACTGAAATTACAAGTCACGCTAATTTTATATTTTAAGTTACTGAATTTCCAAATTTGCTCTGAGATGCTGAAAGGCTCTTCTGGCAACGCTAAAAGCGTGGCGTCAAAAATCGTTATTTTTGTTTTTAATTTGTAGGTTAGGTGGCGCAAGCTATCGCCCGGTTTAAAGGGTAAAACCTTTAGCACCTGTCCATTCATCCGTTAAATGCTGTAGTGGAGGGGAGAGGGGGGGGGGGGGGGTCAGTAAAGCTTGTTTCCGACAAGTTACAATAAGTTTAATGATGTAAAATAAATTAAAAAAAATCATGTCAGCAAAAAAAAAAAAAGAAAATTGGCACAAATTATTGTTTTTTAGATTGCCCGTTTGACTTACATTTTTATAACACGCGACGTCAAACTAAAAAAAGAGCGATCCGAAAATTTGTATGTTCGTTTGGACATAACCTTCGTTTGAAATTGTCTCAGTAGCTATTTCGAATTGAAACATAAAAATTAGCATGCCGGGAAAAGTAAAACCTTTGTGTATTCCAGAAAAAAAAATAGATGGAGAAAGTAAGAAGAAAAAAAATCTTACGTTACATTTACTAAATTTTTCACCCGACTCCCACAAATACACCAAAAAAAAAAAAAAGAAGAAAACGTAACTTGAGCGTCAGAGTGCGCGTAGCACTTAGTAAGGAATTCGTTTTACGCAGGTTTAAACATGGCAAAGTTAGTCTGCCGGGTCTGCCCAAAGAACAATAATGACTGAATCGTAAGTTCCGGCACTCTATACTAAAAACCGTCCATGCGTTGCACCCTGCCCCCTTTTCGTTTATTTCAGCCGACGCGCAGCACGGAGTCGGCTCGACGTCGGGGGCGCACGTCGTGAGACAGCCGTGACACAAGGCGGAAAAGGATGTGACAGGAAGGCTGCGAGTGCTCCCGGGGGGCGGGAAACAATCAAGCCACCTCGTTACTGCGTTCGCCGAGCGTGACAAGCAAGATGGAGTCCGCACTGATCAACTTGCGGGCTTTTTTCGCCCGTCCGGCGCAGAAAGGCAAGTCACCCGCCTCGTTTTTTCTTTTTTCACAATACTCTGCGCGGAGAGCAAGTTCGTCTGCTTTTTTTGCAGGGGGTCGTGGTGAGGTCAGAACGATGCCGAGCTCCGATTGGCTCTGATCGAAGAATAGTGGGTAGACCTCAAGGCAGCTTGCTTTGAGCTCTACTCCTTATCCTTGAATCAGAGCCAATCGGAGCTCTGCGTTCTGACTTCACCCCGACCTCGGGAAAAGAAGCAGACGAACTTGCACTACGCATGCACTCCGCTCTACTTTAAGTTTCGAACGCAAAAAAGTCCGTTGTCGCGGCACTCGTCTTCTTTCTGCGTTTACTATCCCCAGCTAAAACCAATCAGGCACAGAGAAAATGCGCCTCAATCCTGCGCTGTTCTTTCTTTTTTTTTTTTGAGCGTGATCGATTTATGTGGTGGAGGCAATAGCGTTCCCGCGAAGACAATGAACACCATGACGAAGCACTTTTGACGCTGCATGCTTCCCTTCGCTGCCGAACCGCGGCGTGGGCCGCGGTCAGACGTCGAGCGAAGCGGAGTGCGCGGAGCGCCAGTTCGTCTGCTTGTCGCGCAGGAGTTGCGGTGATGTAAGAAAGGTGAGCTCCGATTGGCTCCGATTTAAAGGCTAGGGGTTAGTCCTGAGGGAAGCTAGCATTGAGCTCTACCCACTATTATTCTTCCAATCAGAGCCAAACAGACCTTGGCGTTCTGACGTCACTGCAACCCCCTGCGCAAGACGCAGACGAATTGTCTCTTCGCGTAGTCGTTAAAAGATCGTTAAGAACCGCTGGACGTGGCGGCTCCCAGGGATCTCAATATCGCTTCGCAGCGAATCAGATTGCAGCATTATGGCGCGTTTACACTCGCGGATTCGTGGACAGAAACTTTGTCCGGCTGACGCGACGCAGGTTCCGGTGCTCCTCCGGGTCCGTGTCAAGAAGCTCCCGTCAAAACTAGTCTAGCACGCCGCGATAATCCTTGCACGTCCAATCAGGATTTCACCGAGCAAGCCCTCTCTTGTGGATGTGGTGTGCTTGAGTGTTGTGCACGAGCGCGGAGTGTGTGAAGGCATCTCCAAACGCCCCTCCGCGAGCTCAGAAGTTCGTCGCGTCTACGCCGAAGCTTTCTCGGGCAAAATCATGCCTGTGTCACTGTCATGCTTTGGGTTAGTAAAGTGAGTGCCGCTTCGCGCGAAGGGCGCCCCGGTGTTTTGTTCTCGATCTGTACCTAGCAGCGGCGTGCGATTCTTTATCGCGGTAGCAACCGTCGATTTCTCTCTTGGACAACGGTGCTACTGTGCGATGTTGGAGTTTCACGGCACTGTGGGGTGTGAACAGGTTCGGTCCGTCCTCACTGGCCTCTGCTCGTCGTCTCCCTCGTGTGGATGCGCTTGGGAGACGGACGAACCGCGGATATGTCGGAAAGTTCGCTCTTTGCAAATTTTACACAAAAAGATGCACCAGCTGTGGGCAACGCTGCACAAAGTCGTAGCGCGATAGGTTAAGAAACGGAACTTTGCGGTCGATTTAAAGAGCCTGGTCTCTCCTTGAATCACCCTGTAGATACGAAATGTAGCCAGTGCAGTACAACCGCTCCCCTGAGGTCTTTAGCGTGCTGCACGCAGTAGTGGTACACGACCGCACGCCAGTACGATGCTCATCCAGATCGAAACGGACAGGGGTGGGGATCAAACCCAGGATCCACAGCGCGAGCTTTCGCTCCAAGTCCTCCGAGCTGGCGTGCGCTAGCCCACTCGGCCACCGACCCACCTTCGCGTCGCAGGGTTCGCCGTGCTGTGTGTCCTCACCTGAAGAGTTTCTCACACCGTAGTGCAGGCCAGTGGGAAGTGGGAGAGCTCGGGTCCGTCGCCCGACGGCTTCCCCTTCTGCGTCTTGCTCCCTTTGGCGTTGTCCCGCGTTTCGAACAAATTGAACGTCGTCTCTCGTCTCGTCGTCCTCGCACTCGCACGCGCCTGGCACATGCACAATACAAGTCGCATAAAACCGCGCACATCACAAGCCTACAGACATGTGGCTCTCAACTTTTGAGCAGGGACCCTCGCGAGCGGAATCGAATATTTTTAGGTCGCGTTTTAGATGCGTGTTCTTACGCTCCCTCACGTTGCCGAAAGGCGCAATGAAAGACAGCACGAACAAAACAGCAGAAAGGAATGCATTTTTGGCGTTTTGGTAAGACGTCAAGACCACGAGCTGTCCATTTTTGACGATTTTTTTTTTGCCCATGAGAGTACTGCAACAGACGCTAGCATTTGACGCTAGCATATTGAACGCTACAACGGCGCCTTCGTGTTTGCGTCTTGCAGACGCCAAAGCCAACATTAATTGGTCGCGTCTCGTGAACGCGCTCGCGCCCGTTGCTTTAGTGCAACGAGGCTATACCGTAAATAGACCTTTACTTTAATATACACGGTGTCACAAAAAAATTCCTCGTTTTTATTACAGAAAAAAAATAAACTAGCCATCGCCGAACGCTCATTCTCCGCCCAAAGGTAGTGCGAAAGGTCACAACCAGATGCCAAAGTTTCCGCCCGATTCGATATCTTATTCAAAAAGTATATTTCAAGGGGAAAATGGCGGCCGACAGAGTTTTTGAATAAATGGGGCTTTATGGCACCAGAAACCGAAAACAAGCAAAAATGGGCTCCATTGTCTCATTGAAATTTTCAGAAAATCACTTATAACTTTTGATTAAGTTATCGGATCGGGCTGAAACTTTGGCATCTGGTTGTGACCTCTAGCGCTACCTTCGGGCGGAGAATGAGCGTTCGGGGATGCCTAGTTTATTTTTGCAGTAAAAAAAAAAAAGCCTGTACATTTTTTTTTTGGTGACACTCTGTACTACGGATGATTTTTCAAGAATACCACATCTCGTTGCAGAGTTCCGAGCCCTGCTCGTCCTAATGCGGTGGAGTCACCGCCTGCCCAGAAAACGTCACGATCAACGGTGGTAAGATGTTTTTTTCTTCTCCGATTATGCGTTCGAGCGTTTTTGTGTCTTTTATTCTTGATCTTGTTCGAGGAATAATAAAATCCAGCCTTTTCCGAGCAGACAGATTTCAAAATCAAAGCGATCCCAACGACTAAATGCCACGCGAAGCATCTTGGGTACTGTTTGGCCACTAAGTTTCTGTTTCGTTTAGCCAACCTCACTTCACGACATCACGTCACGACCAATACGGTGCTTCTATTTTCAAATATGCGACTTTCCTTAAACTTATAATACTGTGGACGTTGCTTACCGTTACAGATAGAATTCTGGGGCACGCATTTTTGGGCTCCCGACGCGCCGGAGTTTGTGCCAGCGGGAAAACGCAGGCCGACAATGGCACAGGGAAGAAGTATGCTGGGCCGATCATCCTGTTGCACCGGCTTCTCAATTTTGAGTCTTAAATTATCCGCGAACCCGAAGGGTTATGTTGCACCATAGCCTCCTATATACTGACAAAGCCTAGCAGATCGCCACGACAAGCGGCCGCCGAAATGAAAAAGGTGGAGCGGTTAGACAACGGATGAGAGGAGAGCCACGTGAATGGCGCCCCGCTGCGGCGAGACGCCGAAACGCACTTCTCCCGAGCGAACAAATGTGTTTCGGGTCCTCGCCGCTGCAAAAGCTGTGCGCTGACGTCTAGGTTCCCCAAGAAATGGCTCTTTGATGAATGCTCTGTGTTACCAGATCCCTGCGCTCCAAATCTGCGACCGGACATTCTATGGCTCCAGTGTCAAACTGCCAGGCTTTGTGAGTATAGTGGAGGCTATGGTAGCACACTGGAGTGGTATCCATGCCGCCAGAAAGATACGGGACTCGACAGGCCGTACGTTTACTCTACGCTAAGTGTAGGCAGGCCCTTTACGACCGTTGAAAGTCCCTGTTACAAGCGAGGGCTCTAACGAAGAAGGATGGTTGCAATGCAAACGAGCGCTGATTTTATTTTCAAGCGGTGCTGAGATGCACTACGTTGGCTGTGTTCCCTTGCTCATCCAAATAGATCAGAGTTACTCCGGCGGGTCGTGTCGCGTGACAAGAAAAATTGAAAAACGCAAAACGCAAGTAAACTGTAAAAAAAAAAAAAAAAGTTGTAATATAACTGGAAATATCCAAAAATATTCGGTCAAAATAAGAAAACGGTTCTGTTATATTAAAATGCAAACAGGCTTATCGGTTAAAAAACAGTGTTTATGTTATTCGTCAAAGACACACGTTTTTGGTAAATAGACATACTAAAGATACTTGTATCATCGGTAAAAAAAAAAAAACTTTGATTACACCAACAAAAAAACATAGTTTTTTTTCTTTAAATAGAAACTTCACATCGCGTAACGTTATCTGTTAGAATACAGGGCTTATGTTATTCCCACACCCCATACTTTCTGGGGAAATAAACAGGGCAAGCGAAGTCAGATTACTGTAAAAAAAGAGAACTTTCCTCGTTCCTGCAAGACGGATGATCATTAAATAAGTGAACGAAGTCGTTAAACGCACTTATTTGTTTGACAGAATGCTTCGTAATACCAGGTACAGTACATAAAAACTTTCCTCGCAGCCTGGTCAAAAACCAATCGAACATACATATTTACTCAGTGCAAATAATTTAAATTTTGCGGAACAAAATTACAGATTACACATAATGTAAGCACGACTAAAAAGAACGTGAAAGCTCAGTCTTAACTTTTCTGTGATTTCTTTCACACAGTGTCAGCTGAGACGCTGATTCTAGCAAGCCAACCCAGGCATTCTGGATTGAATCCCCAACGCTGCCCGTTTCGATCTGAATAACCATCAATATGGCGTGCGGTAGAGTATCACGACTGCGTGATGAACGTTAAGGACTCCAGGCTAGCAGTCGTACTGCACTGACTAAATTTCTAATTTGCAGCGTCGCCGATCATTCCCGGACGAGCCTTACGCTGCCTACAAAGTAATTTATTTTTTTTCTTCTTCAAGAAGTACGTACTGTATTGGCTTGCGATGCAGGGGGCACATACTGCATATCTCATATTATCGTCCAATATGCTTTCTATGTAATAACCTATCACTCTGTAGATCGCCTTGATATCTCCCAGAACAAAATATAGCTGCACACATAATGAAGTTTTACTTCTAGTGCCACAAAACCTAGTCCCACGTAAATATATTCTGCATAGTATAAAGCTATGCTCGAGTATTTTTAACGTCGTCAATGCGGCTGAGTCTGAGCGTATGTCACCAATCTCGGCAATAGAAATAAAGGAGAAAAGCGCGTGGTTAGTGGCGTCCGCCCCCACAAATCCACAAGCAAACGCGATTTATTTCTGTGCAATTCTAAATGGCAGCGTGTCCGTTCAAGCGGTTTCTGTTGCCACTTTCAAAACGGTCGAATATGTTCCGTTCCCCGCACGGCAAAAAACAAAACACACACACAAAAAAAAAAAAAAAAAAACTTTCAGCTGCAATCGGATGGCGACGGCCGGCGTCGATCCCGTCGCCTATAGGCAACCTGCAATGCAGTTTGGCGCTACACGTTGCGCCATCTAGCGGCTGCAAAATAAAGAAACTGGGTAGGCCAGGCTTGCGCGGGTCGCGGGTGCAGCGGGCGGGCGCATCCATAAACCACGTGTGAACGTTGCATTCCGAGTCGGCGTGAGCTTTTTTTGGAACCGTTTTTCGTAAAAGTAAGTCCCAACTTCAAGTCTCTACGACCTCACCGGGTTCCTGTAACATCTCGCCTACCTCTTAGAGTTCCCCCCAAAAAATAAACGCTGCTACTGCTGCGTGAAACACGGCCACAGTCGCGAAGGTGACTCAAGCGTCAAACTTCATTGCTTCCCTTCGAGATCTTGGGAAGCGACACGGCGACAGAAGTGGATTACTGCAGTGTGACGCATCAAGTAAGTGAATTTTACAGAAACTCTTTGGGGGGAAGTGAACGAAAATATATGTGCAGGCTCGGAAAGTGGTCGGACGAACTCGTTTTGCAGACTACTCGGCAAAAAAACATATTACAAGTTATATTACAAGTCGCTTTGACAGCCACATAGAGAAATACGATAGGAACAATTGGGCCGATTGCTGCTTCGCTGTGACGTCGAGGATCGGGCGATCAGGTCTTCAAGCGAAAGGCCCGTCGGCCCGTTCCGGCACCGCTAATGCCGTTCGGCACGCGTGGTCGCAACCAAAACCTTCCAAACCTGCGAGTGGATTTTCGTAGCACAAAGTTTTGTTTGTTTCAGCAACTAAATTTAATGCTGAGTCTAGTAACAAATGTGACGGCGTGCAGAAACAGGCTGCTAATGTTTTTTGTTTGGAAAAATCTCGCGCGAAGCGTAAATATCCTTCCACGTATACACTTCGTTGCCTGTCGCCTTTTTACACCAGGCTTTGCGATGTGCGTACGGTTATGTAGCATGCTGAGTTCCAAATTTTATTCTAGTGTGTGTGGCCGTCAGGAGGAGAGGACGGCCGAGCAAGGCGCGAGCGGGGCCAGCCGGCGAGGAAAGAGGAAGAGCGTGCTGCACGAGGCTGGGACCGGGCAGGAACGATAGAGCTGTTCTGGCTGGTCTGGCCCATGGCGATTCCCGGGAGCATTCCACCAGCGAAGTTCGGGTCAGGACTGGCGGAAGCGGCGAGCCCTGGCCATACCGGCCTGGGCCATGACGATCCCGTAGTGGTTCCGCAGCGAAACTGACTGAGATAGCCCGGAACAGCTAGCCTACGCCGTACTGGCGTGGGAAGGACGATCCGCAGACCTGGACACGGGCTCCGACTCTGAGTTCTGACCGACGGGCGACAACTAGGGTCGGCGGGTCCGGACTGCCGGCTCTCGAAGACGGGCAACCGGAATGTACAATAAACCTATTCGCTGCCTTCTCGTTTTATTGTGTCACTTCCTGGGAGACGAGCGAAGCACAGACCGATCGGGCGGCCACAAGTAGTGAAGACAACTCAAACTGGTGTCCAGATGACGACTCTAGAATATTCTCTAAACACTTGGACCTATCAGGGCTCCCGATGGTCTTAAAAAACCGCACGAAAAACCCAGGGACGCACGCAGGTGCACACGGGGACTGCTGAAATCGGGGTCGCCGTCGCTCGCAACGGCCCGGCGGGCAGATAGGCCGCCCCAGCAACAGAGGCGCCGCCGCTTGTGGCGCTGAATGCAGTACTATCGTGGCGCCGCCTGGCCATTGCCGGCTGCCTATTGAGAATTGAGGAGACAGTCCCTTTTGCCAAGGGACGTGGCCTTCGAATCGCCGCCGTCCAGGTTTGCGAGCATCTTCGTGCTTGTGTTTCGGTTAAAGACAACGCGCGCACCGAGAGCGGGAGGCACTCACTTGATCGAGTGACGTTTTAGCGAACGCCCACGTTTCACCGAATGACACTTTAGCGAATAGTCGGACGCCGCGAAGCGGCGTTTTAGGGTGGGCCAACTGGGTTCGCATTTTTGTAATGAGTCGCCGCAGACTGTCGTCGCGAAGCGGCATAAGCGCAGCGCGGCGGATACATGGGTTAACGCGCGCCCCCGTTATTCGCTAAAACGTCGATTCGCTGAAACGTCGCTGTTCGCTAAAACGTCATTCGCTCATGTGATATGGACCCCCGAGGTGAGTGAGTGATGGTGTTAGTATCTGAGCTACTTAGACGCTGAAATGCAAGGAGCGAAAAGCGACGGAGATTTGCCACTGTCGCTCGTCGCGTCACTCGGTTCTTGTATTTCTAGAAAACGTCGCTCGTCACCTTGGTTGCTTCCTCCCGTCGCTCTCACGCGGTCTGCCTATTCGCGCGACTCTGACCGAGCGACAGCGGGTCCTCATCACCGTCGGTAGTCTCGTCGCTCGCCAAATCGCTTTCAAGTGTGTGAACGGCGCTTTAAGCGGCGTTTACACACTTGCAACCGAGTGGGACGGAGCAGACAAGACCGGTTCTTAAGCCTCTCACGACGGCTTATGACCTGTTCCGCAGCAACGCGTCTGGTCCGCCGTCGCAATTAAGGTGCTCAGAAACTGGCCTTGTCTCACTCAATCGTACTCGGTTGCAAGTGTGTAAACGGGCCCTTATAGTTAACTGACTAACTTTGCCCGACGGCACGCTCGCTTTGTCCACCAAAAAGCCGCCGGGCAATATTCGTCGCTTTTTCGCGACATATTCGCCCCATAAAGTCCAGCCTTAAGAGCTCTGGAATGTCGATGCTTCCTTTTTGATAACTCAGATTACTCAGTGTGACGATGCTGACTTTAGTGCAAGTTAGTCCGCTTACAAAGCAAAACTTCGAAATAAATGAACACTTGAAAGGACCATGTCGCTATCCTTCTGCCAAAGGTGCTATCGAAACAGAAACCACGCCACGTCTTTCCGAGGCTAAGCAAGCCCTCTAACGGAGCGCACGCAGTGTTTTGTGCAGGGATTTTTGCGAGTAGTCTATTGCCGGTAGAGGAGGAGTGTACGCAGCGTTCGCGCAGGCCGGATTCGGCCGGTGGGGAAGCAGGACTGCTATTTTGCTTTACGCGAGCGGCGGCGTGTGATTCCAATGCGGAGCGCAAACTCGTCTGCTTCGTTTGCTGGGGTTGTGTTGACGTCAGAACGCCGAGCTCTGATTGGTTCTGATTGAAGGATAGGTGGGCAGACCTCAAAGCCAGCTGCCTCGATGTCTCCCCACTATCTTTCAATCAGGGCCAATCAGAGCTTAGCATTTTGACGTCACCACAACGCCTGCAAAAGAAGCAGACGGACTTGCACTCCGCATACCACCTAGCAAACAAGGCCGGCATTCGGTTTAGGGTATTAATAAGCGCCTGAGAGTGAAGTGTAGTAAACCTTCGTGGTTGCTAATAGGGTGCCCGTGATGCTTCGATTATCATCATGCAGAAAGATGTAAGAAACGAATGTGCAGCTAGAACTCAGTTTTGCTCGGACAAAGTGTTACCACTCGGACGGCAGAGTCCAGGCCCTCGGCGTTTGGCGTACGGATCATGTCGATCGTTCCGCTAGTCACTCTTCCACCATGATTTTGAATGGCCGTGATTGAAACATCACGTGTACCATATTTTCAGTCACCGAGAGTTACTCTGACGCACTTATTAAGTTTTTTTTTTTTTTTTTTTTTTCTCGCGACCCCCGCCAGGGTATTATTTAAGGCTTCTGGTTGGCCACATTCGAATTTGTAAAGACGCCCTGGAACACGCCCAGCCCTCTTTCGGCCAATGGCGCCTCCTGATTTGTCTCTTATACGTCCCAACGAATGGCCAAGCTCTCTACATATACGGCTCTGGTGTCTACTTTCCGCCAAGGGGCGCTGCTGTCGCGCGTGTCGGGTTCCCTCTGTCTCCTCGAGGCGGGTCTGTGTCGAGGGCTAAACAGCTTCGCTGGTCTCATCCACCTTAACCGAGTGTAATGGTTCATGATTTGTTTCGGAAGGGGGGGGGGGGGGTTATTGGAGCAATTTATCTCCGTTCGAAAAGCGGCATCGATTGTGCGGTGAACAGGGTTCACCCGACATACACGACAAATGCTTGGGAGTCAAATAAGTAGTCCCGAATGTGAGAAGCTTATCTTCTCCTCGCACTGTCGCTTTCACCGCACCTGCGAAGAGCAGGCTATAAAGCTGCGTGGGCGTTACATTGCCGCATTTCGCCTTGCGATAGGCCCGCGAACTGCGGAGTTTTTTCCGTCGAGTCGCTGAGTGAAAATGGTAGCGGAATGTCGTCGCCCTCGGACAACCTCGGTGGTCTCCGAAACGAAGCGAAGTCACAAAACCGAGAGAGAAAGCCGACGTGCCGGAGAAACGTCCCTGTAGACACGCGCGGAAGGCCACCTTAATGATGCACGTGATCTCCCACCGAAAAAGGACTTTGACCCAATCATCGCGAAGTTACAACGTTTGCCGATGAGTGATACTACTTTCGCGTTAAAGGACTTTTTTGTTAAAATCTAAAATGCTTAACTTTTTTTCTCTTTTAAATTTTAATTCACAAAGCAGTTAACTGTCGAAAAAAAAATCTTTGGGTAAGTGGCTGATGCTGCCATTCAATTAAAAGCGTTCAGCCGTATCCATCCATCTATCCAGGGTAAATTGAGACTGGTGCATCTCTAAGAGAACTGGTGAAATAAAAGATAACAATAAAAAAGAAGCGTTTTTTTTGCAGAAAGTTTTACTTCGTTCAAAAGGCGTCGAAATTTATAGTAGACTTGCTCGATTTGTCTCATGGTGTAATACGCCAAAACGCCTCGTTGTTTTCGCGTATTACATGACGATGCAAAACCAACTAACCCAACTAGCCACCCTCATTCAACAATTGTCTGATCATAGTAAATTAAAAGAAAAAAAAAAGTTGGGAGAAAGGCAGAGTCAAGACTCGTTTCTTTTGTTTAAAGATTTGTCCGTGGAGAGAAAACAAATCCCGTTTCATATGCAATAAAAAAGTTTTTATTTTCAGGCAAAAAGACTGCGAGTTCATTCCATCTTAAGATGATTGGAGTGATCAACTCGGCGTGGAGAACGCTCTCAATTAACGTACGTATAAATAAAAAAGGTTCCAATTAGCGCTGGTAATTCGATCGAATGACGTAGCGATCGAACTATTAATGCTTTAATCGAGAATAATTTTTAACCGGTTAATCGGTAAAATTTCGACTAACCAAAATAGGGTAAAAATTACACCTTTTTTTACAACGTAGACGACGTTGAATACACCAGCATGAGGGGCGAACTTAGCCACATGTGAGCTTAAAATGAACTGTAGGGGCAAGACTTGTGGCTCCTGACATGGGCAGAACGTTACACGTGCCCAGGCCGCCAGCGCCGTTCGAGTGCCCGTTTAGCGCAGCATAGGTTATTGTGAACATTCAAAGGAGGCCACTCTGGCCGGAGAATATCAACGTACCTCTTTGCCTCATGCAGATGAAGTAAGAATCTGTGATTGAGTGTCTTTGAAGTGCTCTTAACTACACCCCGAGGTTTATTCATAATCAAAATTACATAATGCGCCGTTTATAAAATATTCAGCAAAGTTAAAAAAAAAGATATATATATATATATATATATATATATATATATATATATATATATATATATATATATATATATATATATAACGGGCATGGTGGCGGGAGGCCGAAGGCGTGGGTATAAAACTGAGAAGAAAAAAACCCTTAGTGAAAAACAGCAACAACGGACGATTTAATCTTCGACGTTTCGGCCGGAGTCCGGCCTTCGTCAGGAAGCGGCCGGAGTCCGGCCTTCCTGACGAAGGCCGGACTCCGGCCGAAACGTCGAAGATTAAATCGTCCGTTGTTGCTGTTTTTCACTAAGGGTTTTTTTCTTCTCAGTTTTATATATATATATATATATAGTATATATTAATTTAGAATAAAAAAAAATATTATGCATGTAAATAAACGAGCCTGATCAATCGAATAATTAATATATTAAAGGGTGGCGATTATTCGGGTTAAAAATTTTAATCGACGTCCAGCCCTAATTTGAACAGTCATGAACACCGAACAATTGAAACGTTCCTTAAAGACGTCTGTCCTGCCTTCGTGCCTCGGTTTTTTTTTTTAATATTTATAAATATTCCAGTTTGCCCCTAGGGTTCTGATGCCATCCTTCTTTAGCAACCGAATGCTGGAAGGAGTTTTACTCGACAAGTCGCGTACTTAGTTTTTACAGCGATAATGAACAGTTATTGACTCTTCCTCCCACTTGAAAGGACGAAGCAGGGCTCCTGTCGTTGCGTTGATCGCCCAATGCTCAAAAGCCATCGTGAAGTTCTTGACATAATGACGTTCCATAACGCCACTAGGTCACAAGACTGGGATGCCACACAACGTGATGGTGTCACGTGGCGGTTTAATATCACGGGACACCGTGACGTCACAGACTTTCGTGACGTTATGATATGACGTCATGGTGCCACGTCACATCAGGGTGTTCGTAGCACACTGATGATTCTTTTTGTTTTCAATTTCTCTGCCACGTTTATGGTTTCGCCATCTACTTGAATCATATAATGCCCCCCCGTGACAGCTGCCCTATTCGTCCTTGGTGTCGACGTTAACCTTTGACACTGTGATGCTTAGTCTACTTGTGTCTGTAGAGAACAGGATGATAGAATCTCTCATTCTTCACGCTTGCGCGAGATGAATTCAACGATAGACTAACACTATTCTGCTTCGCAGGTGTCGTCAATGGCCTCCCGCAGAAGAAACGTCGCCCTCATCACCATCGGGGCAGTCGGAGTTGCCTCCTTGTTCTTCTACTGGCGGCAAGACGACTTTGTCAGGCTGAAGCCCGTCCTCGTGGACAAAGATCTAGACACGAGGCGCCCCGGCTACGCCGTCTACACCGCTGGTTGTAAGATCCCCGACTTCAATCCGTTCCACTGGACCGTTGCCAGCATCTACCGCAAGCAGCACATGTACGCTTGTCCCGGAAGGCCAAGTTTCATCAAACTCGTGGGAAACGTGCCTTCTATCAACGAGGTCAATCTCTGGGACTATTATCAGAAGGAGCCCAAGAGTGTCGTCTGCTTCTACCAGGACATCACGAGGAACGAGAACAAGACCGTGCCAGACTCCGAGGTTCTCTATTCGACGAGAACGAGGCTGGTGTTTGGTGTCCCTCTCTTGAAAGAGCGGGTGTTTGTGGAGTGCAGTTCTGCCGGAGCGAAGTTTCACGAGGAATTCCTCATAGTGCCCGTCCTGAAAGAAAGCGTCGAGACGCGTTGCGAAGAAGCGACTGCCCGTGCAAACTCTAGTGCTGAACGGCTCAACGTAGTGATTATAGGCTTGGATTCCGTTTCGCGACTAAACTCGCTTCGCCATTTGAAAAAGACTCGCAGCTTTCTGTTCGATAACTTTGACGTCATAGAGCTGTATGGTTACAACAAGGTCGGGGATAACTCCTTTCCAAATCAGCTACCACTATTAACGGGACTTTCGGACAAAGAAGTTCTATCCCTGAGCCCGGATAGGTACTACGACAATCAAGATTTTATCTGGGACACCTATGCGGACTTGGGGTATCGAACCTTGTTCATGGAAGAGAGTCCTAGGTTCGGACTTTTCAACTATTTTTCTAACGGCTTTCGGGAGATCCCCACGGACTACTACACCCGTCCAGCGATTTTAGCGATAGACACGTCCAAACAAAAACGGTTCATAGGTGGCGGAAAAGGCTGCGTCGGTTCCAGGGTTCAAACCGAGATGTACCTCGAGTACACTACGTCTCTGTTATCCTTCCTGGGTAACCGTTCTTATTTTACTTACACCTGGATATCCGACGTCACGCACGATAACCTCAACTCCGCCGGCTACGCCGACACTCCTTTCTTGCGAGCCTTCGAGAGGCTGCAAAAGAACGGCGTCATGAACAAGTCTCTCGTGGTGTTCCTAAGCGACCACGGGATGCGCTACGGGCCTATCCGCCGGACGCTCGTCGGCAAATACGAGGACCGGCTGCCTTTCGCCTTCCTCATGTTTCCTCCCGAATTCCGCCGAAAGTACCCGGAGGCCGTCCGCAACCTGAAGATTAACCAGTACCGCCTTACGACGCACTACGATCTCCACGCCACACTCCTGGAGCTCGCCAACTTTCCGAACCGCAACTCGTCTTTCAAGACGTCGCATGGACTCAGCCTTCTGCACGAGATTCCAGAGAGCCGGACGTGCAAGGAGGCGTCAATAGACGCGCACTGGTGCTGCTGCCACGAGACGGGAGACTTTCCGGCAGCCCATAGGCTGTCGCGGAAGATGGCACGTTTCGTGCTGGGTACCGTCAACGGCTGGCTGCAAGAAGGGGCGCCCGGAAAGTGCAAGACGCTTCGCCTGCAGAACCTCATCGACGTCTACGAGGTGTCCGTGGACCCCAACGGCGATTCTCGCTACTTCTGGGTGACACTAAGTGCGACTCCCGGAGGCGCATTTTTAGAAGCGACCGTTGCGGTGAACAGTACAGAGGGGATGTCCGCAGAACGCGTTAGCCGTCTCGACTGGTACGGAGCGCAGTCGTCGTGTGTTAAAAGCCATTTTCTCGAGCTTTACTGTGTCTGCAAGAAGTGATGGTACACTTCCGTGCGACTGCCCTTACTTCAGACGCTCGCAGCTGTAGATATGCCATGTAGGCTCTCGCAGTGAGATATCCTATCATCCATACGTCGTATGAGCGACCATGTGCCTCTATTCTATACTGAAAGCCACGAGTATGCTTAGTCAAAATAAATATAAATCGCAATCTCTTTCATATGCCGCGAATGCATTAAGAGATGAGTAAAGCGCCGCGGTGTGGTTTTAGCCTACACTAGTTGCAGTATCTTGTAACTCAAGCGAAATGCAGCTCTTACGAGCTCGTAAACTGCTCACAACCAGTATTATTGATACGTAGTCCGTCACAAAGAAGGGCAACTTATACTGAAGTGATAAAAGTAGCCCAACGTTTTCACTTCTCGTGGTTCTGTTTTTGTTTTGTTTGTCAGTGAAAGCAACTGTGCACGAATTGAATTTTTTATTGAGAGTGCTGCCGCTATCCATTACTGGACTGAGAATTCCGCCTTGAAGATTGGCCGAGACGGAGCATTTAGAATTGTCAAGTTTTGAAACAGTCAACTGGTCCGTATCATAGAGAGGGTGGCGATTCATTTGGTTTACATTTAGTTTCTCGTAAACAGTAAAAGTCAGAACACAGTTATACTATATTGCTCAAAAGGTAAGCGGAGAGAAAAAAACAAACAAAAACAACTAAACTCAGATGCCAGAGCGCAGCTGCACCAAATGTTTTGTGTGTTCTAATCGATGCCATACAAAAACACGCGCCCATAACATCCACACGATTGCACAATACGATTGAAATTGACTCTTACAGTAACGTTCAATTAATAATGCCTTTTATATGCATAGAATTAAAAAAAAATAAGCAGAACAAATGCTAGCTATTTAATTTTTAGAAACGAACTGAAAAAAAAAATGTACTGTCGCAGTTGAGGAAGCGCGTTAAGCAAGTTAATGGTTCATTCTTGACCGCTGCGCAATTCATCAAAAAAAAAAAAAAAATCGTCCCCTGGCATTTGAAAAAAAAAAAAAATTCTAAAGTTGCGCGATATGACGTGTCGCGTCAACCCTGTTCAACTGCTGGCTACAGAGTCACCGGAAGCTTAAGAAACGGAGGGCGTGGCTAACAGACCCCTTGCAAAATCGAAGCAATCTAGGGCCCTAATCTGAACACTTGGCAAAAAAGTCGGCCAGAAATCGGGCGGCTCTACGATTGGCCGGCGCCAAGGCCAAGTGCGGCGTTGTCCAATCACGAGCGCCGAATTTCTCGCCGACTTTCTCGCCAACTGGCCAAGTTAGGGCCCCCGATTGGGGTGGTGCCGCGCAAAGCATCTGGGAAACCGAATGGTCACAGTTTCAGTTTCGATTTCTTAACCTCAATTCACGATATCCTGTCCCGAGCAAAGTACAGTGCACGAATTTTCGAATAAGTGATTTTACTTAATTGTATATTACTGTAGGTGTTGCCCCCTCCAATACCGATAGAATGCGAAGGCACGTTATGTGTGTGTGTGTGTGTGGGGGGGGGGGGGGGGTGGGTTCCGACGTACCAGACAGAGTTTGTGCGCAGGTGAACGCAGGAAGGAGAAGTGCACTAAACCCATCAACCTGTTTGATCGTCTTAATGTCCTATAGGCTTCTTAAACAATCCGTAAACTGGAAGCGTTATGTTGCACTCTGAAGTGGTAAACAGACCTCCAGAAAGGTATACGGGACGTGGCTGGCCTTACTCCTACTGCTCGTTAAGTCTAGGCAGGTTTTTATGGCCGCTGTAGGTTCGTGTTTTAAAGAGGGACGGGGGGCTCTCACGAGGATAAACAGGTGTCATATGCGAGCGAGTACTGGCTTTATTTTCATGCAGTGCTGAGATGCTCTACTTTGTCATCGGGGATATCGAAATCGGAACTATGCAACTCCCCTCCTAGGCCAAAAAGCTCTCATAATGTAACGCGCGCAGTGTTGCATGCAGGGAGTTTTGGAAGTGGTCTATTATGTCAAAGCTTCTTGCTTTGCGATTCACGCTGCGGCGTTCTTGTCAGCCAATGCCACAATTTGATTGACAGCCGAGCGTTATTAAGATGTCCGGGAGTCTCGACGCCCTTCATCTCTGAAGTTGTCCATGACTGTATACACAACATGTAAAGTAACGCTTCCAAAGCAATTTAGACACCCCTCAAAAATCGGTTTCTCAACATATCGCGCTGCAATTTACTATGGAGGTGCAAGCAGGTGGTGAAAGTGTACAGTACAAAAATCAGGGAATAAACTTAATAAACTATAACCCTGAGAGTAGGAAGAAAGAAACAATGAATAATAGGAAGAGCAGGAGTACCTTGAGACTCCTGTTATTCTTCTTCTTCATCGTCGTCTTTGTCCCTAGTCTCAGTGTTATAGTTCATCCCGTTTAATCAACACCAGCTCGTTTGCGCCCTAACATTCTGTAGAATAAACATACCTCTTTCAAAAGAAAAACAACAAAGACGTGTTCGGAGCAATCTGCGCCGCCAGTTCACAGCCGATGCAAGCGTTGAGAGAAGGGATGCCGAAAAAGATGGCGTACGTCGCGTCGAGGGAGCGCCTGCCGATTCGGCTTCTTTTTCGCGAGATCGTCTGCCTTCAACCCAAATCGGCCGTCGCTCCCTCGACGCGGAGTACGCCATCATTTTCGGCATCCCTTCTCTCAACACCTGCGATCGTTCCTTTATTGTTTCACTCTAAACTTCCACCACCTGCTTAGACCCCTGTAATAAATTGCAACACGATACGTTTAGAACCCGATCTTTGCGGGCCGTCTAAAATGCCTCTGAAGCGTTAGTTTACATGCTGTAGTTATAGTCCCTGACTAATTACCAAGCGCAGGGGGTGACTTAATCTCTTCACTCCTTCTCCTTAATTGGTTCTCCGGCGTCCTTATCGGCTAATGCTGGAACCCCATTGGAGCTGAGGAGCGACAATACGGACTCGTCATACCAAGCGTTTCTAAAGATTGTAGCGACTGTCAAAAAAGCTGACTTAAGCAGTATATAGTCACACTTGCCGAAACAGGGTCATGTCGTCGTAAAAGTGAGCCTAAATAATTTACATTGATCATGAGTGTTCCCTTCCTGGATTCAGTGGCAGACAACTTAAGTGTCGCGGGGCCTGGAGCGTCCCCAGCATTTTAACGCCATAGCGTTAGGACCTCGTGTCGCACAAAAGCCGGTGGCGGTGGCGTTGTGACGGGAAAATCCTGATTGGTCGATAGGTTCATGACGTCACAGCCACATAAGCTCGCGCCGGAATTTCAAACAACTCACAACGCTCACGCGTCACACGTTTTGCAGATCACGTCAAAGTATGCACCTTCCAACCTTTTCTGCTCCTACAAGCTCAGAAGAAGAATTCATGCTCTCAGTTAATTATGAAAAGTAAAACCGAAGAGTGTTACACCATAGTATGTCTGAAACACAAAGAAGCTCATTTCGGTATGTTCATGACATGACGCATCGTCGTATTCACAGAGGGGTCTAATGTTATCTTAACTCGGCATATGACGTGTGCAAGTAAAGCGCCTAATATGTTTAGGAAGGCACGCGTTCTGGCACGCAAAAATGAATAGTTTAAATGCAACAAAGGACTGAGCATGGCGCGGATTTTTATGCAGCTTAGCCTCATTTTGTGAGCAATGTGACAAAACCACACCGACACGCAGGAATAAAATTTGACAGAAGAAAATTTTTTCAGTCTCAAATAAAGTTTTTGTACCCATCTCCTTCGTATATGTCGCATCTCTAACTGCATACTCACCAGCTATCCTCTGTTGTTTCTGGAGATCTCACTTTCGGTCGTCTTCACCAGGAAGGAGCACGCAGTGTTACAGCATTTCATGCTTGCTAGCGCAGATGTCTGACATATGGGTGGCACTCAGTTGGTCGAACGATGTTTTAGGGAACGCCGAGTGTTCATTGAAAGATACTTTAGCGAATAGTCGGCCGCCACGAAGTTTACGGGTGCGCCAGGTGAGTTCACAGTTTTGTAATGAGCCGCCGCAGACTGTCCCCGCGAAGCGGCGTGAACGGGGAGGGGGGGCTTGACAGGCGCCCCAGTAATTCGCTAAAATGTCGATTCGCTCAAATGACCACTTTTCGCTACAACGTCATTCGCTCATGCGATATAAACCCGCGACATGTATTCGAGTGGGCATCATTAATTCTGGGCCTCAGAGCACTATCAAGACGCGTGTAGCATATTTAAAACACACGCGTTCGGTTCCTTCGCTTATTTACTCTATCGCTCAACTGTATTTGAGTACCCCTCACACATTTTATGCGGAGCGCTAGTTCGTCTGCTCCTTGCATGCACAGGGGTTGCATTGACGTCGATACGCCGCGAGCTTTCATTGGCTCTGACTGAAAGGATAGGGCGCGGGTAGACTTCAGTGCTAGCTGCCTTGAGGTCTACCCACTATCCTCCCGATCGGAGCCAATCAGAGCGCGGCGTTCTGACTTCAGCATTACCCCTGTGCAAAAGGCAGACGAACTTGCGCTCCGCATAGTCTCTAGCTGCTTAAGAAACGCAGGACGTGGCGAGTCCTGAGCATCTCATTAATGCTCCGTGAGCCAATGATGTGGCGGCATTAGTTGCTGCAACCTCATTGGTTGCGGCAACTAATGCCGCAACCAATGAGAAATGCCGAACAGTGAATCACGGAGCGAGAAGTGTCAACGCCACGACCTGCGTTTCTGAAGTTGTTAGTCACCGTAGAGGAGGGCATTGGAGATAGTCTTAGGGAACCGTTTTTGCACATCCGGTACGGTACAATGAGCCCTCCGGTAGGAATTGCGCATGCGCGAGTCTTCTACGGTAGCGCATGCGCAGTTCATACCGGAGGTTCCATCTTACCGCATCGGGTGTGCAAAAGCGGTTTCCGTAGGCTGAGGTTTGAACCTGGTGCTCATTTTCACTAGAGTGGTGCTACACCTTTTGAGTTATAACTAATGAACAAAGCTCTACTGTCGTTAAATGTCTTATTGTGCTGTCCGTGGTCCTTTTATTTAAAGCGAGTCATCTCCTTGACGGAATGTCAGCCGTCTTTCTTTCTCGGACGTTTTATTTTCTGACCTTCCAACAGGTAAGAATAGTTTCGTTTTTTTTTTTTTTTTTTTTTTTTGTCTTCCTAGCGCATTAAGCCGACTAGACCCTGATAAGTTTCCCGCATCAACCCTAATTATTCCACGTTGCTGGTGCTTTTTATTTTCTTGCGGGCCTTTGTAGGCCTTAAATTAAACAAATTCGTTGCCAGTCAAAATGTACAGTGTCCTAATTTTTTTTTAATAATATCAAGCGAACGTGAACCGCCGGGAGGGCCAGCGCTGTGCTCCGGAAAAATACGGCGCCACGGCACAAGCTCTTTCCATTGCGAGCGTCGTCTGCTAGGCTATTTGACCGCACACAGCCCCTGTTCATTATCTGCTGGCATAGCTAACCGCCTTCAAGCAAAGATCCGAAGAGCGCTTGCTTTTATTTTCTCTTTTTTTTCGATACTGCTCAGGCGTGGCATAAACCACGCGTCATTTCGAGTTTAATTTACTTTTTTTTTATTTTATGTTTGCGTTTACTTTTGTAAACACCAACAAAAATTAACAATACGGTGACGCGACAAACTGAACGGAACGATGCATTAAACTATATACCGCAGACAATGCTACGAGCCATCAAACCCAATCCAGTGCTTTCACCCTGCCACGTGGCATCGTGCTTCCCCGTGCGGTTGTACCCAACGGGAATGCGGTACAACGTCGGATGCGGTACAACGCAAAGTGAAACGGAGTATAGACAGGGTTTCCGCTCGGTGCTTTGTATTATCGACTGCGTTGTTGCTGTCGTCATCTAGCCTATGTAGCCGGGTAATCATACTTTTCTTTGAACACCGGGCGCACCGCGCACATTTTTATGTCTCCTCGAGTGCCTAGAGACCATTTCATTTAGCGCTCTCTAGGCGGCCCCATTTTGTTCGACAGCAGCGCCCTCTCATACATCCGGGAAATTCAGCGGGTTCGGCGGGGTAAAACGAGGGAGAGGGCACGCGCCCGACTCCGCTACCAGACGAAAAACCGGGAGGTTGCCATTCTCCATCTTTGGGCTGTACCGGCGGGCCGTACGAAACATCGAACTCTCGCTCGTGGCTGCCGTTGTAAAGTAGTTCGCGTTCTTAGAATAGTTGTGGCTACTCCAAAATCAGCCTATAGCTCTCTGTTGTTCTATTTCAGTAAATAGAACAACAGAGACTTTTGCGGACTAGCATATCTTTTTTCCTTACTTAAATAGCAGTTGAGTCAGTCGGCAGTACTACCCTCAACTACTGCGTGTATTGCGCCAGGAGAGCACGTTTCCATTTATTATTTCAGACTTCGACTCATGGTCGCTAAAGGCGTACACCAGTACGAACTTTGTCTAGTAAACAAGGTAAAGCAACCGGATTTACTTTTCGCCGGAGAGACCGGCCAATCTGACACAGATTTCCCTATTTTTTTTATTTGAGCGCAAATAACAGCGTAATTGGACCCTGTAAGTCTTTTTATCTAGCATAGTATTACACGATAACTGGCATACCAAAATCTGCGCATCTGCGCTTAAAATTTCCAAAATGACGCGATTTTAAACAGAGTTTGCACGCCAGCCGGATGCTAGGTACAGCCCACTCGACGGAGCAGACGACATTCGGGGTGAGAGGGGAAGGGCATTTTTTTCTGTCTGTTACCCTCTCTGCTATGACCCTAATGGAACGGTCTATAGAAACATGGGAACGTGTTGTGAGAATGTCGATGGGCGGCATGACGCAAAGGGATATAGAAACAACAATCGGGGTTATACAGGCTACCGTCAATAGGATTGCGAACGCATTCCAAGAGGAAGGGCGTATCGGCGATGCACTTCGACATTGCAAGCGCCCTGCCCTCCTTTGCTATACGGAGCACGGGCGGTGTGCCATGAAGGAATAGCCTAGCAGACGACGCTCCCACCAGAAAGGGCTTTGTGCGCACGCGCTTAATCTCTCCCGTTTCACCGCACGCCACCGCGGCACGGCGCTAGCGGTCGACGCTCGCTTGATATTATTAAAGAATTGGGCCACTGTACATGGTATGGTCGCTGCGCAGACTTTTTCCTTTAGGCCTAAACATAATATCAGCTTCATCATTTGCCGAGGTCCCCGCAAACATTTCAGTTATAGGTCCTCCCGAGTTCTTTGCGTCAAATCATATGGTGTAGATTCCTGACGAGTGTACAGGTGAATTACTAGTAATTCCAGTTACGAAGTTTAATTTTAGCCTAATTTGTTAAGGCTGCTCATATTTTCATTTGCATCTTGGATTCTAGAGAATGAGCGAACAGAGATAGTAAACGAGTAGTCGAGGAAAACGCAGGTGCACTGACACGTGCATATCATCAATAAAGTGAGTTTCTAATTTCTTTTTATTAAACTTATAACGCGGTATGCTTGTGTTTTACCATTAATGACGCGGTGTGGATTGTACCGTATTTACTCGAGTAATAGGCGCACTATTTATGAACAAAGACCTTGCGTCTACTGTCCCGCAGAAAACATATACAGCCAATCACTGCGTTGAGCATAAACAACACAGCAAATAACCAGATCGATAACACGATTCTCCATACAAATGCAATCTTCACAGATCGCATCTTCGCACGAAGACGTTATCTCTGTCGTGTAAACAGCTGGAGTCACGCTGTCGATCGCGGTGATTGGCGATCTGCGTGCTCTGCTAGAAAACGAACCCTCATGTGTTCTTCATAAACACTGCCGCTATTACTCGAGTAAATACGGTATTTCCTCTTGAAGACTTCATGGTGGAAGGATCAATAACTCCGTTACTCAAGATTAATGTATGAAAGCCGCTGATACCAGTACTAGTTTCTGTTTCTTTGCGCCGGATGAAGTTGCTATTCTACCAATAAAACGAGAAAGGTTTACGAGTTTAGCAATGAACTTCTGTTCGTAGTGATAGGGTTTATGGGTTTCCGCTTCTCGTTAACATCAAGTATTGTCTCGCTAGTATATACTCATGATTCACGATAAATATATTTCCAGTCGTAATTATATGAAGAAAAGAAAACAGTGGACATAAATTGGGGACACTTGTTGCATCTTTCTTTTTGCGTCATCATCCACCTTTCAAAGCCAATAAACATATAAACGTAATTTTCAGAAATGTACTTCGACGCACACTTAACTGTCGCACAGCTTCACAGCTGTTCTTTTAAATGATGTTTAAAATAATTTGAAGAATGGGTTGGTCGCAATTTTCGCCGTTTCCTAAAAATATAAAATAAAATTGGGGCTTATTTTTTTCAAATTGTATATACGGAGTTTATAGAGTGTGACACTTGGTTACGCAGATAAGAGGTTGGTGATCGCCAACCCGAAGTACTGCAACAGTACTTAAAAAAGAAGCGAGCTGGTGGTGACTCATGGTAATGATGTGGTCTTCCCCTTCTGTGTTCCTGAGTCTTCGGTTTTTATTACCATGAACTCAAAATACTTTCCAGCTTTATACGCTCACAGGAGTGCCACTTATATTACGGTGCTAGAGGTAGAAGCCTACGTCAAAATGGTTTCCGTTTTTAAAACAAGAACAACCGAAACAACAACAACAAAAGCATCAAAAACAACAACAAAAACATCAACAACAGCAAAACACCCCGACAGTGTTAGGAACGAGACCACCCTGTGTGTCTCTTTCCCTCTACTTTAATCTCTTTCCCTCGTAGTAGTATTTCGACACTGCTTTCTCCTTCTAAAACTGCGTGCCCAGCCCGTGATAAAAAGTCGGGCATCGGCTGACCTCATCCAAGAACACGTGTCAAACAAAACGTGTTACGCCAGCACTTTTGAAACCCTTCGGTGGAAAGCGTTTTTTTTATCGCCTGCAACCAAATCTCGCCACTCGTCACCGGCAACAAGTACAAGTGGTATATTTGCCGACTCTGGGAAGACAGTCTCGCCGAATCCACGCTTGTCATATTGGCAGTTGTGTCGAGACGCGTGCACAAGATATTTTGCTCGAGCATCTTAGGGAAGAATGTCGATGTAAAGCGTTTCGCAACAAGAATCGCTTGGTTTTTGTTCCGAGCCCGTCCACGTCTCTCTGAGCAAGGAACATGGAAAGCCACCGCTACACAAGGGCCGGTTTGGTCTTGTTCGTAGTTATGGTGTTTGCTGGAGCACGGCATACCGAGCAGGACAGCGGTGACGCAATCGATATGGATTGCTACAGAAATGCGGTAAGTACTTGATTCAAATGATACGAACTGTGGCTGGCGTTGTAACAAAAGATTAGTTTCTTTTGTGTGAATCCTTCGTGTTGTTTGGGAAAGTTTCCGAATGGGGAACATTGGTACAGTCCTTTTATACATAACTTGTCTTCGTGAATGTAAATATATGCTAGAAGTTACACTAGAACTTACAAAAAAAGTTGCGCTATAAGTGTAAAGATAGTAATTATTGCCCACCCTACATTTCTTAAGCTGTTACTATTGAGGCGTCTCAAACGAACCTGAGGGAGAGTGGTTACCCTACCTACATACTTGCTGGCTATACAATTAGGTAAGCCAACTGCTTTGCCTGAATAATGAGACAGGAGCGTTTTTATATGTGCAAATAAAGAACTGAAGATATAGTTCGCCTAGAATAATCTGTATCCCGCAATGAGCACGGAAGAGAGATTTACGGCTCTGAATATGGGTATAAAGAACAAAATGTATATGTTTTGCCAACACTAATAAATGGTATGGGGCTAAGGTTACATAAACTCTTACGTGAAGCAGGTGATAGGGAAAGGCGGCGGGAACTGCGTTTCCAATTTTGGTTTTAAGGAATTTAATACAGTACGTTATCAGTTCATGTTTAGTCCAGGAGCGTCTATACGGCCTTGGTGGTGGCATACCCAAACGTAAATGCAAAGCACACGAAATGACTATCAACAATGAAGAAATGAACTAAAACAATGAACATTCACCATGGCAATGATGACGAGCATAAAACAATATTAATTATATACTTATCTGCACTGAGACAATTAGCAGAGCACAGTATAAAAATTCCCTCAGCATCTATCTAATGCGATAATGACACAATCTCACCAAATGATTAGATAATAAGTATGGGCAATTTAGTTCGTGACTGCAGAACTAGAACAGGAGTAAAAGCACATATAAAAAAAAGAACGAAAGAAGCACTTCAGTTTTCATTTATTCACCTATACCTTAGTCAGTGTTAGCGTATTTTTAGATTCTGAACAAAATAAGACATTTAACTAAAGTTGTGAAGTGCACAAATGTAGGTGACAAAGTCATTATTAGACCACGAATATACCCAGATAATTATCATTGCTTTTGTATTTGCTGCCCTTAGAAAGCCGAATGAAAGCAACCGAAAATACGAGGAAAACGAGAACAATGTTGGTGACAAATCGTCGACCCACGATAAAAAAGAAAAAAAAAAAAGAAGGGGAGCCTTGTGTTTTCCACAATCACAATTTAACTCACCAATATTAGTCTTTTAAGGTGAAATTGGCAAGACAGGGGCCATCCTTCGTACCCAAATATTTCTGTACGACGAGGTCTATACTCCAGCCTTACAACTGTTGTTACGTTTCGCGGAACAGACACTCCTTTCCGGCTGAACCTTTTTACTATTCATTGCACTCTGTCATGCACTTAAAACATGTTATCCTCCCAAACGATTAATCTGCATTGTTAAAATTTATAACTTGCCAAATAAGTCCCGGGTGTAGTCAAAGCTGGTAGGAAAAAAACTAGAAAACGGTCTTCTGAAAGCACAGAGCGACAGCTGGCATTTAATAATGTAGTCATTGACGGCTAAAGTAATGGGAGGCATAATTTCATATGATCAGGCTTCTTTCTTTGTTCGTCCTCACTTTTATTGGCTAATGACAAAATATTATAGGCCGTGGAGCGACGGTAATATGATCGGTACACGCCAGGCACTGCGATTTGTAAGCTGCCGCGGCCACTACAAGAGTCTCGAACTCCTGCCAGACGGGCACGTGAAAAGTCTTCAGAACAAATTCCTTAAAGACCGACGATCAGTTCGCGCTTTCACCTTTTCTTCCGCTTCCTCCTCTCCCCCCTTCTACCCTGTCCACCGTTGCCTATTTCCTCCATGGTGAGGAGGATCTTCTGCCTTGCAGAATCTCGAGTCTGGTCATCGGCCTTTAAAAAAAAAAAACGCCGTATCAGCTCGAGATCTCGTGGCTATCGGCGTGCACAGGTTCGCCATCCTTAAAATGAGTTAATTCTAGAATCCTTTCACACGCCCGTCTGACAAATGTTTTGGGCTCTTATCTAGTATAGACCACGAGGAAGCTAAGACACTTTGAGAAATGTCAGATGGCGCTATAAAATTTACAGAGAGCTACTTTCAAGATACTTTGGTAATTCCATATTCTAAATACTTGAGTGCGCCTTTCCTCTCTTTCCCGTAGTCATCCCTCATCGCGAGCAAGGGCTATCAGGTCGAAGAGTACGAAGTCACCACGAGCGATGGCTACATCTTGGCAGTGCAACGGATCCCGGAGGGAAGAAGTAATGCACTCAGGAATCAGGACAGTCCCAAAAAGGTGGTCTTCCTCCTGCACGGATTACTCGGCTCATCCGCGGACTGGGTGCTAAACTATCCACCACAAAGCTTGGGTAAATAATATAAGTTCAGTATGTCCGGACATCTTTACAGCTACTTGACCGGTCACGCACCCCTCACCTAGCTGCGTTTGGAGATTTGTGTTTGTCCTTTGTCCCTCCTGTTCACCTTCTCCAGGAATTATTTTCGTCGTTTTTGTCCAGCTCGCTTGCACCTTTGCATTTAATTTCATTATAGTCATAACCTTAAAATGCAAGCCTTTCACCCTTGTTGGTATTAGACTGGTGGCAGCTGATAAAACCTGTTTGCTCTACTGACGTCTAACCCCTGGTTAGCTCAGTTGGTAGAACGCTCCACTGGAAATGGAAAGGTCCCGGGTTTGATACCCGGACCAGGCGGATTTGTTCGGTCGCGCAACAGTCACCTATCTGTGTTTGGAGATTTGTTTTCGTCCTTGGTCCCTCTTGTCCCCCTTCTCCGGGGATTATTTTCGTCATTCTCGTCCAGCTTGCTTGCACCCTTGTATTGAATTGAATTATAATCATAACCATAAATGCAAGCCTTTCACCCTTGTTGCTGTTAGACAAGTGGCAGCTTATGAAACCTGTTTGCTTTACCGGCGTCTAACACCTGGTTAGGTCAGTTGGTAGAACGCTCCACTGGAAATGGAGCGCTCCCGGGTTGGATTATTTTTACCTAGGTTTGTTTGAAAATTCGCGTTTGTCCTATGTCCCTCGTGTTTTCCTTCTCCAGGGATCATTTTCGTCACACAGATTTGACAAAAAGTTTAGGCATACGATTGTTGTAGCTAGATAACACCTACGGAGGTGATGATTCGTTTTGATTTTGCCGGTTTTACAACAATGTGGCACCAGTAAAATATAAATTTAAACTAAACATTTTTTATTTTGACGTCAAAGAAAAAACAACCACTTCCGTACATCAAGGTAGAGCTTACTGCTTATTGCTCTTACTTTTTAAAGTTTTGTGTAAAATATGAGTATGAACTTTTGCCGAACGGGGCCGGTCGAGACACTCATATTGTTCTTCTCTAACCCAACTTATGTTTGAGGGCTGGAAAGCTGAGAGAATTTCAACATGACGTCAAAAATAAAAAAAAATAAAAATCAGTCCCGTCAGAAAAAAAACACCCCAGAAAACCGTCTCCCATCTGTCAAATTGAGCGTACTTGACGTAAGTTCCGGTCACTTCAGGGGCCGATGTTAAATTAAATTAAATTCAATGCTTATTTTTTTCGAAATCACCAACAGCCCGAAGGCCTCTGAAGTAAAACGCAAAACGTGCGACATATGTTCAGCACAAACAGGGATGGGCAGTATTTCAAATACAAGTATTTGAAATGCGTATTTCAAATACTTTGTGTATTTTACATTAGTACTTAATTACAAATTGGGTAATGTATTTGCTGTGTGTATTTAAATACAAAAACCTGGGTATTTCAAATACAATTGTAATTAAATACAATTTTGTAGGCGAAAATACATCCCCCAAATTTATTGTCATTGTCCAGAGCAGGAAGAAAACTATTTTCTGCACCGAATGCAGTGTCTTTCAATCAAGCACAAGCGTATAGTGACTTTGTGATTACGGTGCTAGTCCAGGGCAAGAATAGTGACGAAATCGACGTTCACAGGCAGACTGGCTAAATAAAAGCCTGTGACAACTTGTGATGCTTTCCAGCCTGATTTCCATCCATATTCTTGCCTCGAACATTCTAAATGCGCGGGTCATCCAGATTGGTCCGAGTTGCAACAATAAAAAATTCTCTAGCTAGTACTACATGTCTTGGTCGTCTCGGTTCTTTGTTGGTTTATACAAAAATGTAATCGACAAAAAAAGCGGCTTGAAGCTTTGTACTTTTTTCACCTATTACGTCCAAGCTCATTACATTTTTTGTGAATATATTTCTGTTACGTTACTAGAGCCTCGCACACTAACTCCCGAGTGTGCGATGCAAAATTAAAATGAGATACCCAGAAACCCGTTGCAGGTGCCCTGAAGTCGCTGATGCAAATTTTAAGGAATGTATTTGGAAAAGTATTTGGAGGAGACCAAATACATTTGGTTGTATTTGTATCTCGCACTTAAATGCTTTTTTGGAAATGTAATTAGATTTGTAACTAAATACATTTTGACGAAGTATTTTGTATTTGTATTTCGATACATATCTGCATGTATATTGCCCATCTCTGAGCACAAATATACATGCTGAAAAGTCATACAGAAGCAAAAATCAATTCACATGTTTAAAACTCATCACATGCTTAAAACTCATACACATGCTTAAAATGGCTGTATTCTGTCAAAAGAAATATTAACGTTGCGAGACTTTGTGTTTAAACAATGTTGGATTCATGACACCAGTAAAAATTGTGATGCAGATCTGGGTAAAACACTACGCATTCTAGAGCTTATATTAAGAGGAACACGGGAGTGTCGGGAAGCGAGAAGAGTTGGATTTCATGTGACGTCATCAACGTGATGGTAGTCACGTGACAACATGACGTGATACGGTGACGTCATGAGATACCAGGACGTGACACTGTGACGTCACGTCAGAGCATGACGTCACGTTAGGGAAGAGTGGGGATCGAGGAATGGAACAGTTTTCATTCTATAAGTTTTTTGTAGTTTAATGGATATATAGAAACAAGTTTAATAGTCCTAAACCTAGGGTCAAGGACCCTTCACATCAGCTGAAGACCTCTTGGTCCTAACTCTTCTAGAAACGTAAAAAAAAAAAGAAATTGGAGACAAAAAAAAAATGTATCCTATTCCGCGCTTCCCTCCATGAAAGAATGGGACACATCCAAGATTGCGCAAAAAATTGTACGAGTGAATAATATAGGCAGACGGGTCTTATCAGATATGAAGCCCAATCACAGTTTTTTTTTTCCCTCAGATTGTCTGCTGTTTTACACCGGGGATTGAGTGTGCGGTAAAATTTTACACAAACCAAATAATTGGTAGCCTAAACACCATATGAACTATAATTAGGTGATTCACCATTGCTACAGGTTAACATTAGTGTTGATCTACGTCAGAGACCCCAAACTTTGTAAAGGGAGATCTGAGACACTGTACCATCATTCCCAAAATGCCTCGCACACGGTAAGTTGCCAATTGTGGCAAAAGGTGAGACGTTAAGCTTACAGTGGCGGTGTCATTATTTATGATGGAGACTACGGGCGCAGCAAAAGGGTTCCAGTCACATGATGTAGATGGTAAGGAAGAATTGTGAAAGACGCTGGTGCGAGCAAGCATATGGGAGGCCAAATTTGTGTTGATGGTCGAGTCTAGGTGAAGCATAACGGGGGGGGGGGGGGGGGTAAATGTAAACATTTTTGACGGACATCCGACTGCAGTCGGATGTCCGTCAAAAATTTCTAACCATGGTTAGAAATGATTGGAAACTTAAACTTGGAACCCTAGCAACGCTTGGTTAGTAAGGCTGGGCGTCGATTAAACATTTTATCCCGATTAATCGTCGAGTTTTAATCGATTATTTAATCGATTAATCTGTCTCGTTCATTTCCATGCACAAAGTTCTAAACAGTGAAAATATTATTATTATTGTTTTATTTTTTGCTCCTAAATTTGTGTTAAACGGCGCAATATAAAGTTTCGGCTATGAACCAACCTCGATGTGCAGTTGAGAACATTTCAAGGACATTCACACTGACAGATTCTTACTTCAGCTGCATACCAACAAGGCGATTTCCTCTGATTGTTCCCAATGGTCTATGGTGCGCTAAACGGACATTCGCACGACATTGAAGTGACCGAGCCACGTTAAACCTTCTGCATTTGTCTGGACTATCTAGGATTACAAATATCGCCCCTACAGTTTACATTAGAGTAAAAATTTCCCTAAACTTCGCTCCTCTTACAGGTGTAGACTCGTCTACGTCCGCGTGGTGACAGTGATTAATTTTTATTTTGTCTTCTATTCGTCAAAATATTCCAGTTAGCCGGTTAAAAAAATTAATCGCGAATAAAGTATTAATCGATTAATCGATAGGTTGATCGATCAATTGCCCGGTGCTATTTGTTAGAGTTCCAACTTTAAGTTTCTAACGGGGAGGTATGATCAGCTTATTACGCAGCGTGTCACCAGTGGAATAAAGTTTATGAAACCGACTTAGACGGTCTATTCTTCTACGGGTTGATAATGGAAGGAGATAAATTTTAGATTTTATAGTGCTTACGCTGCATGTTCGATGGTACCTAAAAATATAAACCCAACCGATCAATTTTGGTACAGCTTTCATCAAATCAGTTAGCATACAGTGAGCAGGGTCCAAAACAGAAGGCGCATATTTATGCTTTGATCGTACGAGGGTTTTGTTTAAAATCAGTTTAAAAAACGGGTGCTAAAGAAAAAAATTATTTTAAGAAAACCCAGCATGCGATTAGCGTTGCTAATGATGTAGTTAATGTGAGTCTTCCATGATAGGTTAGATGTAATATGGGAATATGAACTCCTACATACTTATAGGCCGTAACTAATTCGGGGGGATGGTTGTTAAGGCGAAATCCTTATATGTTTCATTACGCGAAAAGCCGTCGGCGTTGTGCCCGAAAGATGGCTATAAAAAAACGTTAGAAATAAAACACAGAGAAAAGCACAGCAACAGACATGCTTCGATCACGACAACCGTGAAGCCGGCGGGAAAGAAAAGCACGTGCCTCTAAAAGTCAAAGCGGAAGCGCCACAAATAGGAAACACAAAGCAAATCAGAGCAACGCAGATGCTTCGTCATGGATGCCGGGAAGGCGGCGCGGGCGCCCCGCCGGAGCAGTGGGGGAGCGTGAGCTCACCGCCGGATTTGCGGGACTCCAATTCTTTCGCATTCCTAACGTAAGAAGTCTGAAGTGTCTTTGGAGTATTCTTTAGCGTATAACAAGGCCGATATGAAGCACAACGGGAAACTCTTATAACTTTACTTTTACTACAGTTGAGCACCATGGACCATGAGTCACATTAATTAGAAACCGAATTAATATCGTTTTGTAGTAGCTCAGAGCCAGA